GAAACTTCACCATTTACCAAATTTTACATTTTTGAACCAGGTTTTGCCGATCTCTTCTTATCTCTATTAATTACTGCTTCAGGGAATTTTGTAACAAGATTAACAGTGAGGCTCATTAGTTATGAATAGTTCATAAGAAGACTAGCACAATTAAATCAAAAACCATGTTGTAACTTCTAACATAAGTCATTGATTCAAAGCATATCTATTATGATTTTTATCTGAAATTATAGCCAAGGTAATAAAAATGCCAAAATATTTTGAACAACAGGTTTTTAAAATTTTCCAGCCTGGTTTTTAAATACTATACAGGTAATTTATTGAGAAACAGCAAAGCCTGCTGTGATAATGACTCTTAAGTAGAGGTATTCTTCTTTGATGTTTAATTGGATTATTGAGATAATATTCTGGCAAAACCTGGTTCACCAACCCGCCTGAATGCCCTTTTAACGGGTTTGCTGGTACATGTAAATGGAATAGTAACAGCATGTTTCACCTGATACATATAGCCAGTAACATTGTAACCCTATAATACAACAACCAGTGGATACAAAGATATGACGCGACAGCAGGGTGAGGGTTTGTAATCTCAGATTATCTTGTTTATGGTTGATTTGAGTTAGCAAATTTATAAATTTATAGAGATATGGTCGGTTAAACACGCAAGGTATCACAAATTAGATAAAATTTCATTAACATGTATCTCACTAATTATAAAGGCCTAGAGCAAACATTTTTCTATTTCTAATCGGTTCTCATGGGTCTTAACCACACGCTAAAATTTGAACAAAATTCGAGAGATTATTGCAATTTTTATTTTAGTTGATTTAATAACAATAACAACAATAATAATTTTGGCTTATAATAGTGCATGATTTGACATGGAATTACCCATATTCAGACTACTGTTCTAACATAATTTAAATGTTCCTATATATTTGGCCACAGAGCAACATTTATCTGAATAATGATGATATTCTCAAAATATTGTGTTCTCTCCAAGTAAATAAGAACGTATTTTTACTTTTGGATGTGTTTTTGTTTACCTGTTTATGCACTGCTTTATGCAAACTACATAACATTTTTTTAATATACAATATAGTATTATAAATATTATCATTATTGTATCATCATTATTATTTTATTAATATTCATGTTGCATTTTGGTTACGTTACCTTTCTTTTGTTCTTCAACAGCTTTCTTTAATTTTTCTACTCTTGTCACAAACTTTTCTATTTTTTCTCGTATTTCTGTCTTAACGGCATGATTTTTTTCTTCTGTTAAAATATTTGAAAACCAATGATATAATACAGAAGTAGAATTTAGGATCATTAATTATTTACGCCATGGCTAGAGATACGGTACCGTATTTCTACCTCAATTTGCTAAAGGTATGGCAAATGGCATTACATCACCAAATAAAAGCCAGAATGTGTGTGACGTCATCTTTCAAGACCGGCATTGCAGATCGCCCACCGTGTGAGATGGTGTGAGGTGAGAGCTGTGACTTGCGAAAGCACTTGGCTTAGCAATGGCGTTCCATATTACTTATTTGCATGGCGTCTCATAGTATACTTTTTCTCGGATTAGGGACTGGGAAAACATTGAGGATTTCGAGTTGCAGACACCACGAAATCTTGGGGCCACATGTTATTATTAAAACGCTCCTGATTGGCTAACCACCTGGATAATTTAAGCACGCTATTGGTTACACCTTAAATTCATGCTAAATGTGCTTCACCTCGGTCTGATCAGCGATAGCGAGGATTCGAGTGCAGACAACCATGACAAGTGCTAGGCCTTAATCGCACAACCGGATTCGTAGAAGCTTGGGCTTTCTGGGAGGGCTCAGCCCATTCAGATTGATTAATATATATAGCGCACATTTATTGTTGTACATCGAACCTGACATCAGGCATTGAGTAAACACATGTATTTGTAGATAAGCATAATAAATCTTGAGGTTTTCAACCTGGCTCTGTAAGATTTAGGAACAATGTTTAAAGACACCTTACATAAACTATCAATTGATACTATATAGTAGTGTCTTTCATTTTTTTAACTAATAACAGTTTGAGATTTTAAAGCAAAATACAAATATTTATTGTTTGTTTTTAATAATCTATTTTGCTGTTGTTCTGATCATATGGGAAGTTAATTAATTAATTAATTAATACATTATTATTTTGAGAAAGATATGCCTACAGTATTGATTTTATCTCTCTCATCTTAGCAATCAGTATCAAATGTTTTTTTTTAAATAAATATATTACTATTGCACAGTGGGTAAGTATGCAACTCAGTTTAAAAATGGATAACACTAGACAATATAAATATTAACAATCTATTGTTATTTGGTTATACATAAAACATACTCATAGTTATTTATAAGTGTCTACAAGGGTATGCACCATCATATCTGTCGTCTATGCTTGTCTTTAATGAAAATATTCACTCTAAATGCACTCGTAGCCAAAGTAGCAACACTTTAATTGTACCAAACTGGAATAACAATCATGGTAAAGTAACCTTTCAGTATAGATCTGCCAAAGAATGGAATAACCTACCAATTGACATAAGGAAAAAAGCAACCATTATGATCGAGTTTCGATATTTTCAAAAGTGCTATTTCTTAATTTTGAATTTTATCACACATTTAAATTCTTTTCTGTTTTCTTTCATGTTTTATGCCTTTTGTTGTTGTTTTTGTTTTTTAATTCTAATGATTTTGTATTTTGATTATGTTAATTTTAATTAAGTTTATATTCCCAAAATTGTTAAACATAACTGGACCATTTGGGAGACCAGTACATTTGTATTGAAAATGTATCCAGTCAAAAGAAAGAATAAATAAATCCTCAGTCCTGGTGGTAATCCTCAACAACTCTCGTAGCTTATTCAGGTTTCAAAATATAATTGTCTTCAATTTTGTGTCGAAATTCCGACAGCACGATCTGTCGGCCTACTCAATGATGCTGTTCAGTTTGAGCCTCACTTGAGCCTTGGACATGCAAGTTAACAAAAATCACTCTAGGGCCTAGATGCTACTGTAGCCTCTCTGCTTAATACACACCCATTCAATCTTGTGTGGAGAAAAACTTCTCTGGAATACATCATTTATGTGGTTTCAAAATATATTCGACAAATTTAACACTATAATCATGATTGTGGAAACTCATTCTCTCGATCTGAATTCTGGCTCAACGAACGATGTTTACGATCGGTGGAAGTAACAGCGCGGAGTCTACCCAAAGTTGGGTAAATCAAGGAGTTATTGGTTATGCATGTGCATTCAAAGTGTATCAATATGTTGGTCAGATTGTAAAGCGTGGTAATTTTGAATATATTATAAGCTTCTCACCCCTAGAAATAATACCGTTTTTCGGTACTCCTTTTTTTGATACCGAGTGATAAGACCCTGGAACAACCTAATTGCACACATTCACTTGCAAGACACTAAATCATTTCAAAATTTCCTATGACCGTCACATAGAAACATTGAGAGGTGGAAGTCTCCACAAGTATTAACTCAAAAGCCTCCATATATCATTAAGGTAAGCAACCTAGGCTTCTTGGACTAAAACTTGGGATGAGATTTTGGGGGTGGAGAACTTGACCATGGAGAATTAGTTTATGACTGATATATAGCATGCCACCCAGATCGATCTTTCACTACAGCAGGGCCACCGCCAAACAAATAATCCAAGCAAGGCCTAGTAGGCCTTGCTTAAATTCTTCACCAAGCGAAGAATTTAAGCAAGGCCTGTGGCATAATTGAGAAATAATTGGAGGTCTTTGTTTTAAGGGTCTTCGGTCTTCGTTTTGTAGACACCCAAAAAAAGAAGACCCTTTAAAAATTTCACAGATGGCCAAAAAATTTCATAATTTTGATTTTGTGACAGCCTGGCGTATTATCATCAAAATGAAAGAGAAAAAATAGGGGTCTTTGTTTTTTGGGTCTTCGGTCTTCGTTTTATAGCCACCCTAGGATTCAGTCCTAGTTTGATAATGGCTATACATACATAGATAAATGACATGACTCTTACTGAATGGAACCATACGCCTATTTATCAATGACAGTACTAAATGTTCTAATTTTCCCAGACGTCACGCACATTCTGGTCCTTAATTGGGTGATGGTGACGTAATGCCATTTACCGTACCTTTAGCAAATTGAAGTAGAAATATGGTACCGTATTTCTAGCCACGGCAAATTATTTAATGAAAATTTTTCTGTCAGAGATAGAATTTGGAATTTATACAAACTTTTTAAATCGTTGTGTAACAGCTGTATCCCTTCCTGATAATATTTTACCGCTTCTGTGTACCGCTTCTTCTTGTCAAGATCCCTTGCTCTTGTTAATGCAACTGATGCTTGCATTTTTGCAGTGTGTTTAATTACTTTTTACAATGCTGTAAAGCAATAGACAATTACAACTGTTATAAATGCAGCCAGGAAAACAAATGCATGATTATGACTAACAAGGAAACCTTGAATTAATTCTAAGAAAACTAGGATGGCCCCTAACACAAAACTATTGCTACCTACTACTTAGTACTAGGCAGCCTAACTAGACTAGGATAGGTTGGAAAGCCTTGCTAGACCACCTACCTAGTAGGATATAGCCATAGGCCTAGCTAGTTAGGAGGCATTACTTAGGTTTACCATTTACTTGGTGATGTACTGGACACAGGACTAATGTCCTCTATGTCCAGATCCAAATTTGTTGATCCTGAAATTCTCGATGTTTCTTTTATGATCATACATAACTGGTTGGTTTTTCCAGAGTTATCAAGTCTGTTCTTAAACGCATAGAGAGAGGGAGCTGTTACAACTTCATTTGTTGGGAGACGGTGCATTCCAATTGTCTACAATACAATTGCCAAAGGAAAACCTTGGAAAGTCACTTTAACAGCTTAAGAGAGTGTCCACGAGTTCTGTCTGATACATTTAATTGTAAGAAACCGTCCAGAGACATTATTATATTTTTATGATAGTTCATGAACTATCATAAAAATTATTTAGAATTTTAAATGTCTCAATCATATCGCCTCAATATCTTCTAGCGGTTCGCTCAGTTCAAGACTTTATTTTCCCCGCGACGAGACGCTATCGCGCATGCGCAAGCGATGGTCGTAAGAATAGCAGTGGGAATTATCTTCACGACTCGTCGTATAGTCACTGCAAAAAAAACCCCTCTGAATTAACACATCCTGGTAAGTCGTTAATATAAAAAACAAAAAGGAGAGGCCCCAAGACACTGCCTTGTGGTATGCCACTTGCGACATCCAACCAAGATTATGATTGGCCATTTACAGTGACTCTTTGAGCTCTGTTCGACAAAAAAGGATCCAAGCTCTTACTCCACCCCGAATCCCGTATGGTACATGTAAGATTAATAACAAGGCAGACCTGCCTAGCAAAGCCCGCTTTTTTACGCAATTATGATAAAGGACATACCAACTAAGGTGAGGCGTATAGGCTAATCAACAACCATTATAAATATATCATGAAAACCAACTTTCTGAATAATGTTATTAACATATTATGCTAACAAAATTGGGCATGCCTCCACGAGGAGGCTAGGTAGGCCTCCCACTATCCATCAAGGCCTGGATTGGTGTCAAAGCCTCATGGTTGTTTGGCAGGACTGTAATACTTCTTGGTTGGTAGGCCTTAGGATCTAGGCCTAGTAGGTAAAGATAAAACAACAAATATGCCTTTTTTTTTATACAAACTTGTTGTCCTTTTATTAGGGCCACACACGCTTTTCATTAGTTGATATTCGTGGTTTATTAAATATTATAGCTTGTACTCTTGCTTTAGTTGGCCTAGCCTACTATTGTAGCCTGGCTATAATAATAACAAAGATACTAGAAATACAAGATAGAGTTCTCCACACAAAAAAATTGTTCCACCGTGTTCCACCGAAATGCATGGTGGGAATACGAAAAATGGGACGCCCCCTAGAGCTGGATCTAAAAAAACTTGTGCCAAACTTTCGTTACCAACTCGTCGGGTATTTTATTATCAATTCTCAACAAAGATCTAGATATAAAAACAAACTGGAATAGACACCCAGAGAGTGACATCGGTGGATACATAACCTCCTTGGTGGCGGTAGAAATCGTTGCTATTATCCAAATAATACACAAAACAATTAAAGCATAATCATGAATCAGTAAAGAATAAAACAACAATACAGCGCAGAATCACGAGAATTCAGGAACCATCGAGAAATTAAGTACCAGACCTAAATTCTCGCTTACGCGAAAACTTTGGGCTTGTCGATAAATTAAGTACTACTCTAATTTTATGGCACTTATAGTACAATGCATAAATATTTCATTTGTTTTAAATTTACGACCGATAGTAATTAATCAGGTGAACTGGTATTTAGTACAAAAACGGTGAAAATAAGCAGAAAATATACGATTTGAATGTTTTTTATTCTTGTTAATACTTCAAATCGCATCCGCAAAGACTACGACGCTGACCTAATTTTCTTCACTGCTACAACAGCAGCGCGAAGATTGCCCTTGTTACCGCATGTTTGGCAGCCAGGCTTTGCACCGTGACGTATGGATGCTCTTCATTTTCACCCAATCAGAGTAGATACATGCCCAGAGTGGGAAAACAAAATATGAAAAAAATGGGTAATACACAGTTACTGTTAGCTGAATGTCTTTGATAACGAATAGAGCCCGTAAACATAATTGGCGAGAGAAGAATCTATAATGTTTTGCCTTTTCATGATGGTATAATGATGATTGTGAGTTATTGACATTTTGTTACTGATAGATAAAATTAACAAATAAAGAAGGAATGAAGCTAACTGATTTAAGTCCGAACAAATGCGCTACTAGCCTTTCTTCACACATTTAAGTGTTTGTCCTAAAGCTTCTGGACCACTATAAATCGTTTGAATATAATAGCGGTGGTTTATATGAGTCTTGAAGGGGTTTAGGGAGGGGCGCAAAGGTGGAGTGGGGCTTGACGATTAAGTGATGGGGAGCTAGATCGCAAAATAAGGTGATTGTTAACTACTTGAGCGTGACATTTTTACCCCAACCCCCTCCCCATCTCATGAAATCTCTAAATTGCCATATTTTTTCGCCCCCTGGACCATTTCCAAACGTTTTGAGCAGCGGCAAAACACGCTCATTTTGGTCTCGTCTTGGACATCGTTCCGCCCCCACCCCCACCCCCATTTTTACTTCTGACATTTCAATGGGCGACAACTTAGGGTGTCTGTGGCGCAATATGTTTTGGGTGGGGCCTGCGCACCCATTAGATACGCCACTGAATGTAGTAGGTGAAAACAGGTGTTATCTGTTTTTATTATTACGACTGTGTATTCTGTCTGATACAAATTTTATTTAGCTACTTACATTTAGTCCAATTTGTTATAGGTCTTACACGAGAGCAGTCCTACTATTGTCTACATGTCGTGCTTACAGCTTGAAATGAGTTTAAAATGTGAAAGTGACACTCAGATAATATGGGAAAAATACATTAAAACATGGAAACAAAAGCCGTTAAAGGCGCAATAACTCTACTGCTTTCGGCCTAACGGCTTTATTTTCCGGTTAAATAGAATTGCAAATGATAATTATCATTATTTAAGTATAAACATTCACTCTCGATGAGAATCCATTATTATAAGTCGAGCTGGGAAGAGTTTATTCGAGGTTATGTTGATAGAACGAGTTTTTTTAGATCAGGTTTAATTGATGTATTGCAATAATAATAATAATAATAATAATAATTATTATTATTATTATTATTATTATTATTATTGTTGTTGTTGTTGTTGTTATTGTTGTTGTTGTTGTTGCTGTTATTATTATTTAGATAGATGAAATGATTGTGATAAGAATGATTAAACAATGATAAATACATTTCTTCGCAAGTATTTGGGAACGTATACTGAGCATGCAGTACTATAATACGTCAGGTAGGACAAACATCGATTCGTGTTATTTCTCCTGACGCAAAACGCCATTCGTCTTCACAGGCAAGCTCTGGAGTTGGTGGGGAGAGCCGACCTCCTAATGACTCCAAATGTAGGGGTATAACAGGAGGGGTAGAAATAAGGTCAAATGATATTGTATTTCATTGTCATAACATCACATGGTCCTGGTTTTTTAGAAGCAGTTGGCGCATCGGTTGTGGCTTGGATGCCCAACCTCGAGGTCAGGGGTTCGAAACTCTCGTTGTGCAAATCGCTTGTGTCCTTGGGCAAGCCACTTCATCTAAACGGTTACCTCTCTCCTTGGGCAAGGCACTTTATGTACGGTAGCCTCTCTCCACTCAGGAGTAGAAGTGGGTACGTACCCAATTTTCACCCAATCAGAGTAGATACATGCCCAGAGTGGGAAAACAAAATGTGAAAAAAAATGGGTAATACACAGTTACTGTTAGCTGAATGTCTTTGATAACGAATAGAGCCCGTAAACATCAGGTATCAAATTGTTTGGTAAGACGGTATACCCCTCTCCACTTGTAAAGTTTTAAAAACATGTTTAGACCAATTTTTCATTGCATTTTATTTCTTTTTAGACGTTGTGTGTGTTTTTGGTTCTTTGTGCAAATTTAAATCGTTTTTATGGGACCCACTTTTTAGGGCTTATCCTATTAATTAATCAGGGTTGTTTGTTGCATTTTTGCCTTTCTTGTCCTGTTGTTTTAATTACATGATTAATGAATAAATTCAATTCAAACTAATCAGAATTGATTGGAAATTGGACTGGAAAGACTTGCGACATTTTCTGTTTATTTGTAATAAGCTTGAAGAAGTTCGGTTATCTGAGCACGAAATTTTAGTGAATAAACTTTATGACTCAGGCTTATCTGAGTTATGTAATAAAATCCTTACAAAGGATACTGATGCATTTCTTATCCTTATGTTAGGCGGAGACTGCACAGAGTTTATTGCTAATCTACCCAATCACTTAATTGACTTGGCTCATTTGATTTTTGATGATTTTTGTAAATCTTATATTAAGAAGGCATGGGCAAAAAGAATTGAGATTAAAAATGGTGCTATGTTATGATTTTTATTATTATTATTATTATTGATATTATTATTATTTTTATGTGACTTAATTTTTTTTTTTTTTTTTTTTTTTGGGTACAGTACTTCCCTTTTATTGATTTGCATCTCACTATGTATTTTATTCTGTTAATTTTGAAGCACCATTATTGTGATGAGTGCCTTAATGGTTTGGTTAGACTTTTTACTTCATGCTCTTTTATTGTATATTCCTTTGTTTGGTTTTGCGACTTTCTTTGTACATTTCATTTTGTTACTTTGGATGCACCATTATTGTAATGGGTGCCGCTGTTTTAAAAGCGTTTTTCCGAAATAAATTATTATTATTATTATCGTCGGGGAGAAAAATTTATATATACAGTAACGGTATTATAAGTCTAAATTAAATTAAAAAACCCTCTAACTGTCACATCTTTCAGACCATTTTCGGGTGAATTTGAGCGAATTTTAGTCTCTTTGGAGGCCACACGATCCCCCATTCAATTCAAATGCGTGTGATTGCAATGTAAATTAATACCTTCAATATTCGAATAGTAATAATAATAATAATAATAATAATAATAATAATAATAATTATTATTATTATTATCATTATTATTATTATTGTTATTATTATTCACGTTTTTTTAGGGGGAGTCTATTCAAGGGAACCAGTTATTCAAAGCGGGAGGAAAGTTATTCCAATAATTAGGCTACGGATTCGAGTTGGGAATTGTGAACTAACTGAGAAAGCATCAATTTATTTATTGCTATCTTTCATTTATAGATTATAGTAAAAAGAGAAAAGATGCTGTGTGGGCCTCTGTCAACACGGTAATTTCAAAAACATCAAGTACCAAACCTAAAATTTACAGCATTCGATTCGAATATAAAAGCCCCCCCCCCCCCCACACCTCTTTATTTTGTAAAAGTATCATGGTAAAGAAGGCCAGGGCTTCAATTCATGGTTTTATTGCATTACAAATAGATTTAAATTCTAAGAAAATTTTAACTGACACCCTATACATACATATATCATATGTGAATAGTGAATATCATCTCTGTGTGATTTATGCACATATTTACATAAGAGAAATAGTCATATCTTACTTCATAAACATGAATAATTGATATTTTTTAAAAATATGTACCTTAAAACCTCGAATAGAATCACAATTGCCTTCATCCCGAGAAAGAAGCTCATCTTGAGTTGAAGCTCCTGGATTATACAGGTTGATGTTAAAGTTGCTCTATTTGTTGTTATTCATGAGTAATCCCTAAAATTTACAACGTTCGGTTTACATTAAAAAGAAGCCCCCCCCCCCCCGCCTCAACTTTTTTATTTTGTAAAAATATCATGGAAAAGACGGCCAGGGCTTCAATTCAAGGTTTTATGGTATTACAAATACATTTAACTTCTTTCATGGTTTAAATTTACATGTTATGTGCAGTACATTAAACGAAACTAAATTCCAAAAAATGTTTAACTGACACTCTATACATACACAGACACACACACACACTCGTTCTTGTTTTAAATCCTTAAACTTTCTGTTTCACCCCAAGGAAAAGTCTATGACGGAACCGGAGATAAAATTTTATATGAAACGATGGCACAGACCCATAGAGTCTGTGGTTATGGCTTGATGGCTAGGATGTTGATATAATTCACTTGTATCAACAGTTATTCCCTTTAAAATCCTATTGATTGCCTCTTTTATCCATGTAACACTACTTTTTAAATGTATGGTTAGATTACACTGTAAGATAAATTTAGTTTTATTCCATAAGCTTCCTTCCTTAATTACAACATCCAAGATAATTAATTATAGTACACATCTAGATGTGTATAAGAGACAAGTGAGTTTTTAATGTAATAATTACAATACTGGAAATGAAAACGTCACGAAGGACTCTTGAACAGTATCATCCAGATATAGAATATACGTGCGTTTATGGCATTTACCATAATTAGATTTTTTTAATAAAAGTTTATAAACCAACATTTATACATAAGATATATTAATTACCGGTATCTTGTGTTAATAATTTTTTTTATAGCTTCCAATAAGACCAAATAGAAGAAATTACTTGTTTAGAGTCGCATCACAACACAATTTTAGATGGGGAGGGGTGGCTTTTTTTCCCCCTTTGTTTCTTGTTGTTTTTTTTTAATTATACAATATCACTAATCAAATTAAATGTGTTAAAATTAATCATTTTCAATAGGTTGGTGAAATCATTGTTATAATTCACTTAAAATAGGTCTATACTTAATTTAATTAGAATTTCCTGGACAATATCTATTTTTATTTTTTTTAAAAAGTAAGAAATCACGCCTCCAAGCTTTTTATTTTACTAGGAAATTGAGTGGTTTTGGCCTATTATCAATAGGCCTACAAACATTATTGAAAAAATATATATAACAATCATACGACGCTGTCCGAGTTGCCCAACATCAACGATTATAAGGATCGATCACAATAATTAAATTATTGAAGATAATAATATTAGGTCGATCAATTAAAGAAACCATTACACTACATATAATGATAATAACAATAATAATAGAACAAAGGACCCTATAATGAATGATGTTGATTCCAAGAAAAATAATAATAAATTAATAATAATAAGTTTCTTTATTTTAAATCAACGATTATTGTTGCGAGAATCAGATTCACTTAACATTATAACATAAACCAAACTTCAGTAGTACATTAAAATAATCAACAAAAGAATAGAATTATTATACAGTAAAACTTTTAAAATGCCCTTAATTTTACAGGCATATTTTTTTTTTATAAGTTTTAGCAGTGGCACGACAAGCTGTTTGATTGTCTTGAAAGAATGTTACTTTTTTTGTCGTACGTACCCTTCTTCAATAAATAATTAAATAGATAATAGTCCAAAAAAGGTGAAAAGAAATAGTCGTGACAACGGTCGTACAGGCTATTCAGTTAACTCCCCCCCCCCCACAAAAGGAAGCGGTATGATAGCATACACTACACGCAAATTCAAGATAAACACCAATGAATAGGTTTACAAAACAAAACATGTAGGCCAACTAACAGCTAGAGAACAACTTCTCCCCATTGACCCGAAGCTTCGCATAACTCCACCGCCGAACTGCCAGTAAATGTCAACACAGTTTTATTTTATACTGCTTATGCGGACGTAATATGATCCCCAATATATTCCCGCCTTATTATTGTTTTCCTGACCTATTCCCGCCTTATTATTGCTAGCCTAATTACTGTCGCTGTAAAGGAAAGTAAGTTTCAACTACCCTTCCCATCATGCTCACTGTTTCTCGCTGTAAAGTGACTTGGGATTTTTTCAACGTAAATTAGCTTTCACAGATTTTTTACAGATTGTTTATGCTGGATAATAAGCTGTGAAGTTAAGTTCAACATAAGGTACATGCTCGATTGTATAACCTTCCGTTACTTCATGTTGTTTAATGAATACATGACATATTTAATAATTGTTTACCCCAGAAGAAAGTGTTGCAAATTTGTGTCCCATAGGCTCTGATTATCCAGACCACAAAATACTAAAATTCTCCGGGAACTAAATTTCGTGTTACACCGGCAAACATACAGGCTAATGCTACAAGTGAAATTAGGTACAGCTACTTACAAACTGTATCAAGCTGTTTCGGTGTTCAAGAATGGTTGCTTCACTATCTATTACTTGTTGGGAATTTCCCTTCTCTGTTAGGCATTTTTTGTTTTGACTACGCGGCCAGTCTACTACGAACTAATAGAGCGTAACGGACATCTGCGCATGCTCAAAAACCTTACTGGCTAAATCGGCGTTGTGACAGCTTGCGCGCGACAACCCCAATTTCTGAATTTGGCGTGGGAGGCGACTACCCTAATATTGACCAATCAGATCACCGGATTGTTTTGGCAAACTGCTGGTAACTTTTTTGTTAGGGGTTGCAATTTTCATCGCATCCGCGATCGAGCATTGTTCGTTTAATAATGAATTAATTATTAAAACAAGTGAGTAATTATATGTTTTATGAAGGCCTATTTATACACATGCAATAAATGAAGAATGAATAGTCACCATAAAATTAGGTAAATCAGGGGATCATCTAGTGAAAAAAAGGGCCTTAGGCTTAGCCTAGCCTTGTCAGGGTGATTTTGGGTAAGAGAAAACACATTATCTGGTGCCCGCTAGCTAGGGCATCCGCCCTTGATATCGTGGATCAAGCCTTGCTATATAAATACCTCTGTTTAAAATTGTTATTTATTTGTACATCATCGTTACTTTTGGCAAATTGCCTGAGCAGGCCTGACACCCCTCTTCTCCCGGTTAACGACTCTTTTGACACATAGGCTAGGCTAGGCCTAGCCAGGTACTGGTAGATCCTAGCCAACAGTGAAACATCACTCAGTGTTTTCTGGAAATTTTTTATTTTGTATACAGTATTTGACTAAAGTTTTTTTTTTTCACATTTCATTTTTCAAATATAAAACAAGAGAACATTGTTCTCTGGTATTAAAACCATGGTCGACTAACTCCCCTCCATAGGCCTACGTACGTGTGCTGCGTCGTCGTAGTCGCCTTAAAAAAACGAAAACAGCTCTTGGTGTAGTACGCGAACAGTGTCTTGGCGTTGCCGTCACGGTCCATTAGTTCGTAGTAGACTGGCCGCGTAGTCAAACGAAAAATGCCTATTAAACATTAATTAACAACCAAGACAATTTCAATAGAATACCGTATAGGCCTACTATGGGGATTTATTATGCACAGGACTACCAACTATTAATTACGCAAATGCTATATGGCTTTGTAATAGTAAATCTACATTAGATAAGAACCTAATTCAATATCTTATAGTAAAGAGTATAAATAGAACAAGAGAGCAAAGTC